CCTCTTTTATATATATATATATATATATATATATATATAATACAAACATACTATACATAAGAATTACACTTAGAGGTAACATCATTATTATCGGTAGTCACTAATCACTGAACCATTTTTACGTAAAACAAGAAAACAAAAAGAACGGTGAAGAAACGCAAAGCAAAGCCCTAACAGAAAGTGGCGTCGCCGGCGCGAGTAAGATTGGTCATAGGCGGAATCTGGAAATGCCCCAGCTTACCAACAACTTGGACGAAATTCATCCTACACAGAAACTCCTCCGAATAAGCCTTCTCCTCCTTCCGATCCACATTGTGCAGGAACACGTGCGTCACACCGGATCCCTTCCTGTCCCTCGCCATCACCGCGGCGGAGTATATCGGCGCCATCCTCCCCGGCATCTCCGCCAAGTACCCCTTGGGCGCGTCGATAATCACCACATCCCACTCCGTCGCGTACACCTCGTCGGGGAGGTTGTGCAGCGCCAGCCTGCACCGCTCGTTGCCGCGGAGCGTGGCGGCGCCCGGCCAGCACGCGGCCTCGGAGCGGTAGCTCGAGAGGAGCTCGTCGGCCTCGCGGACCTGGGTGCGGTAGCTGACCGTGTGGGCCCGGATGTCCGGGGCGTCCTTCAGCACGGTCTGGATCCATTTAGGGTCGTCCTCGAGGAAGACCGTTTTGCCGCGCGGGTTTAGCCCGGCCCACATGAGGGAGTCGCGGCCCAGCCCGAAGACGAGGATGTTCGCGGGCCGGTTCAGGGACTGGAGGACGTTGAAGGCGAGCGTTATCTCGGCGAGGGACAGTTGCGGGACTACCTGGGAGGTGGCGTAGTGGAGTATCGCTCTCAGCTGGATCGATGTGGCGCTTGCGTCAACGTCAACGTCAACACCAACACCCCCTGTTGCTGACTCAGCATGCATACGAGGTTGTTGCTCTCCGAGGTTTCGATGGATGAGTGTCGAGATGAACAGTGGGGCTCCGATGATGCCCACCATCGCCGACACCCAAAGGAACCACCGACGGTTATTCATCCTCTTATGCATTGCGAGATAGAGAGAGAGAGAGAATAGGATAAGGGATGCAAGTTTGGTTGGTGTGCGAATGGTTTTCATGATCATTATATTAAGCCATTATTTTTCTTGTTTTATCTTTTCGGACAATTAATTGTTTCTCTGACGAAGTCAGGAGAAAAGTAAGTCTATCTCCGATAATTGTTTATAAGCAACTTCTTCTCCCATGTTACCGTCAAATTAATTCTCATCCACTTTATAAATCGCTTAAATTTGAGCAAAGTTGCTCGTAAAATTACTTTCTACACTCTCACGAAACCCGACACGAGAGGTCCCCTCACTGATTGGTTAGGCACAGCCTGACCCAACTACTTTTTTTCTTTCTTTCACCCTTCTGTTAATATTCTTTCTACTGTTGAAAACTAAAAATTTTGATAGTAAGAACATCACCAGAGCCGATCTTAAACACTAAGTAATGTTTCTCACTTTTCAGCATGAGAGTGAGCGAAGTGACTGTTAAATGTAAGGAATTTTACTTAATTAAGCAACAGTATCTTAACCAATAAAAAGAATAAAAAATATTTTTTTATTATATGATGACAGTTGATGAAGGAGAGTCTGCATTGGAATAAAATAAAAAAATATTAATTTTAGACTTCATAGAGTTAAATTAAGAATTCAAATAAAAAATTTATTATTGAAACAAAATTTTATAAAAATATCTAAATCTGACATGGCATAATAGGTCCACTAACTAAGAAACTAACTTAAATAACTAAACATCATATATGCTCTTAGAGGAAAGTTCATTTATTCGGCAAATTCTAGGAGAATCTAATGTGAGAAATGGTTCATACGTGCGGAAGAAGTTTATTACGGTTAAATATAAATGAACGGTATATTTTAATAATTAATTGATAAAAAAATATATAATTATTTTAAAATTGAAATGTCTTTTTTAACCCTCCAGTTAGAGGGCTTTTAAACCATAATTACACAGATATTCTGTCAAAAAAGTACAGATGTTCAAATGTGATATAATAAAATATTGTGGAGCAAGAATTTTTTTAATAGATTAATTTTAAGTTTAATGTTATTTAAAACTATCAAATAACAAATACCTCCCCTTTTGTTGGTAACGCAAAAAAAAAAACCCTTTAAAAATTTACTATAATTCTGCAGCTTTAACAATTTTTAAAAATGGACGTAAAATTTTTTAATTTAAACATTTTTATATTATTTATTAATGATAATGTATTTTTTTTATTATTAATATGGAAAATATTATTTATATATAATTTTTTAAATATTATTTATTAAGTACATTTCACGTGAGATTTTATAAATTATATATATATATATATATATATATATTTATTTATTTTTGCTTTTTTTTTTTTTACCAATTTTGCGAGGTATTTTAATTTTTTCAATAGTAATTTTGAATATTTTAAGAAGGTAAATTATTTTGAATTAATTTTTCATTAATTAAGGTTAATCATACTTTTATATTTTAAAATTAAATATATTTTTTAATTAGATTTTTCTATTTTTTTTACACCACTAATTTTTTTCTATATAAAATCTTCAATATCATAACAACCCCTAGTTTGCATTTGAGTTTGCGTTATTCATGACACAAGTTTGATATCTTCTACAATCAAAAAATCCTAGTTTGATAGATATATCTACTCAAGGAAACTTTTTGGCACCAAAGATAAAATTTCACTGGTGGGCCTATTGACCCTTAGTCTGACAAGTAAAGTTTTAAGTCAAACTGAACACTATTGAATTTTGGTTAACCACTGAGAGAACAATGATGTTTGGTCTGAAAATCTTGAGCATGTCATTGGCTTCTTATCCAATAATTATAGAAGTGTCGTTTCCTATTTACTATTTTAAGCATAAAGAAAAAAGTTGTGAAGGGTTAACTTGCACAAAAGCATTTTTCTGGTGCTATCTTTTAACAAGAGGATTTTTAGAGATTTTCTTAATTTTTTTATCTAATTTAATTACTATTTAAATTTTAATAATTAAAAAAATATCAATAAATAAAATAATTTAATTTATTTCATATTTTAATTTTAATTTTTGTATCTAATTTAAATTTCATATTTAATTATTATTTATATTAAATCTAAAATATAATTATATATTTAAAAATAATTATTTATACAAATTATAAATATGAGGAGGGTTGAAAAAATATCGATGTAACTTTTACCAACTATTGCACTGCTCAATAACTTGTTAGAATGAAAGTTGCTTACTCGTAGATTATATATAAAAAATTTTATATTAATTCAAGATTATTTGATATCTCATTTTTATAGAAAAAAATGACGTAACATATACTTTTCAAAATATACTAAAATATCAACACTTTGATTACCTTTAAATAGTTATTCAATTTTAACAAAATTTGATATATGCATACTAGGTATATGAAATTATAATTCAACAATTGGATTGACAAAATTCACATTTAATTTAAAGCTGTTGAGCGATATAATAATTGGTAAAAGTTACACCAGTGTCATTTGAACTCTTCTCATTAAATATAAGCATTATTTTAACACATGTAATGTACATGTTAAATGATTATTATATATAAATATAATTTATAATAAATTATAAATACAAATAAATATTATATTTATATATGTTCTTACCGGAAATCTGTTGTAGAGCTGATCCGCCAGGTAAGATCGGTGAGCCTCCTTTGCTGGGTGTATTGGTGCTCCGAGATGGGGGAGGTACCTGCAAAAGAGACTCCGATGCTAAAGTTAGGGTTTGCATGAGTAATGGTCTCATATATATAATGCACGTACCTTGAGGTGATCTAGGTTTGCCTTGGGCTTTTGGGCTTGAGATAAGATATATCATGATATGATATGATATAATTGAAGGGCGGATCTGGTCTGGGACGAGATCCTCGGAATCAGGTATGATTCGCTCAAATGCCGGGCTGACGTCATGCACCGCGTGCCCGGGGTTACTTATTTGCAACACTAATCCGGGCTAGGAGCCCGGGTGCGAAGTACGGTTAGTACACTAGCCCCCCGAGCTTTGAAGGTCGTAGGTCGAGGAGTTAAGACCGGGTTTGCTAGAGGGGAAAATGGCTTTGCGCGTATGCTAACTGGAGGTCCGCCACGTGTCGCGACTGTTAGTGTTCTGGAGACGTTTGAGTGACTCAATAAGGGTAGTGACGGTTGTGTAATGATGATTTCGCAATAAATGTGTTGTCAGTTGTGCTTTTCAGCTGACACGTGTCGCGTCGGTTTTGAATTTTGGGGGGGAGTTTTTCCCTTTCTTCCACTCGCGCCTCTTTTCTGTCTTTCTTCTGACTTCTCGAGTGCGAAAGCTTTTCTTGCTTCCCTTTACCTCCTTTCTTTTTTGCGCTTCCGTCGCCGCCGTCTTTTCCGGTAGTCCCTTCTTTGTTAGGGTTGTTTTCTGAGGAGGAGTACCAGGTACTTCCTTTTTATTTGCTTCTTCTCTTTTTTTGGTGGCCGGTGGAAGTGGTGCCGGATCCTCTGCGTCTGCCAGGGGCAAGGCGCGTGGCAAGGTGGTGGCCGCCGGAAGGGTCATTGTTGAGAAGAAAGACCCTCCGCCACCTAGGGGCCCGGAGCCAGGCGTTCCTGGTTACGACTGGGTCAAACGCGAGGTGGCTGAGGCTCAGAGCATTTTTCGTTCTTTCCTCGAAGTGAATGCGTTTCAGAGAGCGCATAGGGTTTGCGACTCATCCATTTCCCACATGATTCGGCTTGAGCCCTGTCAGGCTGATGAGGGCGTGTATATGGGGAGGTCTACTGATCCCCCCCATTTCTATGTATATCAATGCTTCTTTAGAGATTTGGGTGTCTGTCTTCCTTTTACCCCGTTTGAGTGCGATTTTTTGAATTTCATCAACGCGGCTCCTTGCCAGTTGCATCCCAATAGTTGGGGTTTTTTGAGGGTTTTTCAGGTCCTGTGTACAGTTCTAGGTATAGAGGTGTCTCTTCGCGTCTTTCTTCATTTTTATCAGTTGAAGATGGGCGTTCCGCCTTATGGCATTTTGTCCCTGAGCGGGAGTAGGGATGGGGGCTTGTTTACTCCCTAATCCCAATCGTATAAAAATTTCAAGCAGGAGTTTTTCCGGGTCGCCCTTGTGGGTGTTGACCCTTTGGAAGACGAGGTGTTCTACTTCGGCGGTTTGCCGAGGTTTCCATTCTATTGGTGTCCCAAGCCGTCTAGGTTTCACAGTTTGGGGGATCTGAAGGTGACGGCCGCAGAGACGGCCGCCAAAAAGAATCTTGCTGCGGTCCCTCGTCCGTTGGATTGCAAGCTCGTCTTGTCGCTTGCGAATTCGCCTTTCAGGGAGAGGGGCCTAGAGAGTGAGTATTATGTGCTCTGGTAGGTTATTAGGACTTGTGTGGTTGCCCGTTATTGATGTGTTTCTGTTTCTTTTCTGCAGGCATTATGGGCAGAAACTTGTGGCGTCAGCTTAAACACCGCTACAATGTTTCCGAGCTCGAGGTTCCCGAGCCTCTAGAGGAGGATGCTGCCCCCATGAAGACCCACCGGAAGAGGAAGAGTGGGGAGGAGGAGGTCGGGGGGACCTCCACTTTTCGCGATGCCGAGGAGGCGATCTCCCGGGTTGTGGACGCTGTGGATCTTACTGACAGCCCTCCGGCCAAGGAGGCGTCGCCGGCGGCTACGGCGGAGGTGGTGCAGGGTGTCAGGCTTACTGCACCGGACGCCGAGGTGAGTAGCTTATCACTTGCTCGCATTTTCCATGTGCGTTTCCGGGCAGACCGTCCGAGTTGCCAAGGTGGAAAGTATTGTCTTCTCGGACTTTTCACTCTGCCTTTTTGTTATGTTGTCTGGCTGTTTGATCTGGGTGATTTTATTTGTAGGCAGGAAATGCCTCTAGGCCTGAGCTGCAGGCGGGGAAAGCCGCTGAGCCTGAGGTGCAGGCTTTCGGGCTGGCCGCCCACGCTGTTGGGGTGAGTCTGGTTTTTTTGTTTTTTATTTTCATGGCTTTCTCGCATGTCTCCTTATCTATTTGTGATGCGGGACTGGTTTTTGCAGGAGGAGTCGGGAGTCCCTAAGGTGGACTCTCTAGGTTCTGAGCAGGGAGGGCCATCCTCTTCCGCGAGTTTGGCG